CACACACACGCATGGAGAAGCGACATGTGCCGCCTCTCAAAGCAGAGCACACTCAGGAGAATGACTTCTGCATAAGATAAACACTTAAGCCAACATCTCCTTTAATGAGCAGACAAGTGAACATTACCGGCCAGCGTGAAGATATTATCCTGTGCCGCACAGACTGTTTACTGAAACTCACTATTTATAGCCATCAATATACGGTTCATCACTGAACATCATGAACATCACAGCGACAGAGAGAAGATGCATCAGAGTAAGCCATTTCAACAGAAAGCTCTCCTGACCCATTCATGGTATTTGAAACACGTACTATGATAGAATAATGGCATTTGTTGAAAACTGGGTGAATTTCCACAAATTTCAAGAGCATGTCTAAGTCATATACTTCATTTCCCAAAATCAAAGCAAGTGTTACACTATTTTCATGACAATTAAGCATTTTCTTTAAACGTCAAACCGTTTTTTGGTCTTTGATTTTGGCCTAAAATGGGAGCTGGACATGTTTCAGTACAAAAACGTGCAGTTGTTCCCTTAAAAGAGCTATTTTTACCTTAAAATGATTCATAAAACCAATGCCATTTGTATAATGGAGGTTTTTTTTAAACGTATAAATAGGACCCTCCTTCCACTTTTCAGTAATAATATAATTTAAAAAATACAAACATTGCAATCTATAACAACAACAACAACAACAACAACAATAATAATAATAATAAAAATACATTTCCCTTAGTTGTTGGATTATTGGAGTACACTATATAAGAAAATACTTCATATTTCAGATACTTCAAAATTGCACGTTTAATTCAACGTCTTGCCGTCTCTTTAATTGTTTGTTAAATATACTTAGCAATTTCTGAGTGCAAATTGTTTGCAAATTGTTTCTACATATTTTTTTTTCTGTGTATGCCTCGCACATAATTAATCTACCATAGAGAGGCTATTAAATCAAAAGATACGAAATTATTAAATACGAAAGTATTAAAGTGATATTATCCGAATGCCCGAACATCTTCTATGCCATTAATAATAATAAGATATTTCTGGGAGAATTAATCAGATGGAGCGGGTGTTCAACTGAGCACTTTGATCAATAAACCCACGCATGTTTGTCAGAAAGGTGTAAATGAACCCCACTCACTCACTCACTCACTCACCCGAGGGGCGTTCAGCGTGAGCTTCATCTCTCAAACTGCTCTTCTTCTTCTTCAGTCAATCCAAGAGTCCGTCCAGCGCGCGCGTAATCCACCGCAAACCCGACCAGAGAGAGAGCAGGAAAAGCGCAAAGCCTCAGCAGCTCATGCGCCGGTAGTGCGGAGCGCGTGGAGGATCAGCTCCGTTACCGGGAGCCCGGCGTGACGTCACCGCGGGCGGCATGTTTACAATAGCAGATCAATATCGGTTCAAATGTAATTAAGACTTCCCTCAGCGAACAGGAACATCGCTGGCACAAACCGGTCTGAACAAATAAGAGAAAGTAAAAACACAACGGCACACACATGCTCTCGAAATACTTCGATTAGTGACAGTTTTGCATCATTTTTACAAGAAAACAGTTCAGTTTCTGTTAGGAGTCCAGTAGACTGGTCTTAGCTTAAGCGAGCTGCTTTGTTCTAGCAGTGCAGACAGGCTATCTGGGTCATATTTCGCCCCAAAATCAATATAGAGAAAAATAAGACATTATATATTATTTAAAAAAAAAACTGAAATGAAAGTATTTTAGGGACCATTGAGACTTATGTAACATTGTTATGTTGTGATGCAAAACTAAACAGAGATATTTGTATTGTAAAGCAATTTATGAATTATAATAGTATTGTTTGTGGATTTAATTAAAGTTGCCATTGACAATAATGAGACCAAAAAAAATAAATGCATGTCTAATTCTGACATAATACTGCTACATTGTCATCTCATATTGCCAAAGTTTTCCTCTAATGCCAGTTTTTAAGATAAAACATCTCTGTACTTTATTATAAGAGCATGTATTTATGTTTTGGAGAATGTCACAAATATGTCAGGGTCATATATATTATTCAATATATTTTTAAAAGCCTATTTGTCTGATCACTGTAAGGCAAATAACTGTAATGAGAACCATAACTGAGGATAAAATAAAAAAACAAAACAAACATTATACTTTTCCCCATTCTGTCATGAATGCTTTCTACTATCTAGAATAATATCAGATGCATACTGGCATTTGTTTCTATATTTGGCAGTGGTATAAAAATGGTTGAAGCTGTCGTCTCTCGTCCAGCATCGGCTCTCAGGTTCAGACGAGGCTTTGTTTGAAATGCTCAGGTATTGAGTATCTCAGCATACAGAGCTGGGACATATGATACTAAAGCCAGTCCGAACCACACACACACACACACACACACACACACAGACACACACGCACAGAGACAAAGACGCACACACACAGACACACTCTCACTCACTCACTCACTCACTCACTCACTCACTCACTCACTCACTCACTCACTTTTCAGAAAAATTAGATATTTGTTCAGCTCTACCTCTGCACAAATGATTTTTCTTTGGGCATGCATGAAACATTTGTATGCTGTATACTGTACATACAATATACTGCAAATACAATATTCATAGTCAATTCATAAACACAGCCTGAGACTATGATTGTGTGCAATGATGCATTCGGATGTGATCTGAATTCAAAGCACGCGTGTATCTCAGGCTCACCATATAGATCTCGACCGAACTCTCAGATCAGAGCGACTCCAGGCAAGACAACACTGAGGAGATACGGCTTCATAAAACACGCGATATACAGACGGAATAAAAGAGAATTCAGCTCGCCATCTGGGAGTTTCTGCTGAATTAGCAAGCATCACTATCAGCAGCCACTCCCACAGAGAAACACATGAGTCAGGACATCACGGCATAAAAACCGGCAGATTTGCTGAACTTATGGAAAGAGGACGAGAGCCGTTGTGATAAAACGCCTCATTGTGTAGCTTGTAATTTTACTGACCTGTTTGTCTTCATTAAATCAACCGTTTAATTTCTATTTCAAGTAAATGCTGTTCTACTGAACTTTCCATTCATCAAAGAATCCTGAAAAACAAAATGTATCACAGTTGTACAAAAATATGAAGCAGCAGAACTGTTTCCAACACATCAGAAATGTTTCTTGAGCAGCAAATCATCATATTATTATGATTTCTGAAGATCATATGACACTGAAGACTGGAGTAATGATGCTGAAAATTCAGATTTGATCACAGATATAAATTACATTTTAACAGATATTCACATAGAAACAGATACTTTAATGTGTAATGATGTTTCACTATATTGCTGTATTTACTGCATTTCTTAATCAAATGTTTTCATTTTTAAGCACCAGTGAATCTTTAACTGCAGTGACCATTCTGAAATCTGAGCTTTATACAGTAACCTGACTTCCGTCACACAGTATCCGCAGCTCAAGGTTTTGTAGTACTAATTGTCGGGGCCAAGGGCCCAGCCTCTTCCTCAAGGGCCCAATGATGATGGAGCGGGAGTATGATCTCAGTTACGACTGGAGATCACCAGTAACCTCGGTGTCAGCAGCCCAGACGCTTAAAAGACTAGTTCCGCCTGAAATGCAAATGCTGCCATCATTTACTGACCCTCAGCCAGAATGATCTTCTCATTTTGTGCTTCATTGAAGACGGAAGTGAGGATAAAAACATCCAAGCTATTGGTTTCTATACAAGCAGAGTGAATAAATGGTGATTTAGCCAAGCTCTGAAAAGGAAAATATGACAGGACTGCTATTATAACAAAGCATGCTTTGTTGAGCACTACATTTAAAAAAATCACCATTTCATGTAAAACAGAAGTTCGACATCTTCTGTATCTTACAGAAGTCAGTGTGTTGTAGGATTTTTTTTTTTTTTCTGTGAAGACGGCTAACATGCTGCATTGCCTCAAGCAGCTCTTAAAAGCACTAAATGAAATCAGATCATGCTTCAGCTTTTGAAATAAAAGAGTCTGACGTAAAATGAAAACGTACAGGAACTTTCACAACTTCCCACATCATTTATTGAAACTTAGCTGAAAATGGCTTTTTCTGAAACCCTTGATTTTTGGATGCCAGAATCCTAATTAAATTAGCATATAACCACCCAAACCTAATCAATGCCTTTTATGAATTCAGCTACTTCATGGTGAGATAATACAGAGGACAAAGGAAATAAACTATTATTCCTTAACACTAGAAGAGTAAAATGTGAGAATGGTGAAATGGTTTTACACATACTAAATAAATGTAAAAATAAATAAATGTAAGAATAAATTAATGTAAAAATAAATAAATGTACAAGAGACACTGTTAGTGTGAACAAAACCACACTTATAGGGTTACGTGTGAAGGTTTTTACATAAAAAAAAAACCTCTAGATGGTGCATTCTGACAGGGTGTTAACGTAACTGATGATATTCCGAGAGTTAAACGACTTGGCACAAGCTGATTGGTTCATGCTGCATATGCAGCCAATGAGCTTACTGCCTTGCATTTTTATGGCTGGCTAGCATTCACTAGAGATTCCTGCAGCGCGCTTTCAGAGTTTCTCTGAAACCCTCCACCTTCCCCAGCTCCACCTGTATAGATCTGCTACGGGGTTATTTTATATGCTATTTGTGCAGCAGCAGTATGTCTTAAATACTCATGGAACCGTATCGCCAAGTTCCTGTACTTGCTTGCAGCAGCAGCAATAATCTACAACTACAGCAATAACCAACAGCAGCAGCAATTCAGCAGCAGCTTAGAAGATCTGTTCCGCCAAGACCAAATACATTAACATTGTCATATCCATCACCATGCTAAAAATCTTCAGAGAGTTGTCATGATTGAAATATATTTAAGCACTGAAAGCTCTATTGACGCAAACTGCCATTCAGGGCTGTAGCTACATGTATTAAGGGACTATTTATGCACAAAAGTAAGTGAACCTCAAAGATAGACATGTCTGCCACGACCCCTTTAAGAGCTTGTGTAACAGAGTATTATGAGATAATCCGTGAGAATAACATTAATTCAGGACTAAAAGCTCTTATAGGTGTTGTTGAAATGCTATAATTACACAGCAGTTCACAGACCCTGTAATTAAAGCACTTGATACGAGGGTTTTCTGGAGCTCGACACCTCTCAGGAAACACAGATACATCCTCGAGTGTTGTCAATTGATTGCGTTGTTGTAGGTTAATACCCCGCACTTTAATGGAAACACGTCTTTACGTGTTTGTGTGGGCACGTGTGTGGGCCACAAACCTCATCAGCATGCTCCGGTTTCACATACAGCACATTTTTAGCACATAAACGCAGAGATTTGCAAATAAGAGAGATTAAATATGAAGTAGGCAGCCCTCCACCAGCCACTGACAAACTCAGGATGTTTTGGAGAATAAATGCATGTTCTATGAATCATAACGGCCACTATGAACAAAAACACGACATCAATATGCTTAGAAAAACCTTGATTCAGGCTATCCAGACGTCGCCGGGTGCTCGTGAAGGTGACTTATCAGCCTCCTACGCCGATCCAATCCTCCAGTGTGTTTTGCAGACCGTTTTCGTGGAGATTTACCATCATACACATGCAGCGGGAGAGAGTTTCTAACAGCTCGCAGAAGACTTGGTGACCGATCACACATAATGTAATGTGCACAATATCACATCCATTACACATGATGTTGCTCTCTCATTACAGCTCGCTTTCTTTAACGTCTCTCTCTCTAATCAGGTTAACATCCATCATGAAGGCACGCTGGACAACATACACATTTCTATAAGCAGCAGGCTTTACAGGAGTCAGTCTCACATATTTAGAAGGTCTAAGCTGGTCATTTATAGTCCAAGTTGGAGCTGGTAGCTGGTTAGAACTACTTTGGACCAGCTACAAACCAACTTGACTAGTAGTGGTATGATATGATATTTCCTGCACATTCGCAAGGTCTATGCTGGTCATTAATGGTCCAAATTGGAAGTTGGTAGACCACTTTTGACCAACAATAAACTAGTCCGGCGACCATAAACTAGTATGATTTGATATTTCCTGTAGGCTCTTAGCTGGTCATTTATGGTCCAAGTTGGACCTGGTATCTAGTTAGATATGGTAGACCACTTTTGACCAACAACAAACCAGGCTGACAACTTAAAACTGGTATGATATATTTCCTGAAGGCTCTTGAAGGTCTAAGCTGGTCATTTATGGTCCGGGTTGGTAGCTGGTTAGAGCTG